TATGGAATATTTATACTCTTAATACATAAAATAGAAGTGAGGTCGTCAAGGGACACACGTTGCACATGTGGCAAACACATGTAGGTGGAACGAGGAAATTATTGAGCATGGGCCATATTTTATCCTAGGAAGTTGGAGCTACACTAGGATAGTGGCTACAAAACGGCGGACATGGCCTTTGAGGGGAATGTCATGATGACAATGACATCATCCCATGATGCTAAACAAGAGAAGACGAAAATGCCCCTCTCTCATTACCAGTCGAAAGAGACATTTTGGGGGAAAATTTGTTAGCTAGAATTTCAACAAAGGCAAAATCCAGCTAAGGGAAATGGTATGGTCGAAGGCGATAAGAGAAGTGTAAGACAAAGATCGATCAGGAATATGGACTTAGAATAATTGTCTAAAAAGAAGAAGGTTGAGTCGACATAAAGCACAAAGGCGACATGAGGACCATGTTTGTGGCAGGCCATCAGAAAAAGACGAACGCGATAGAAAAGTTGTTTGCGAGTGGGCTTGAGAACATGTGAACGTGCAAAAGAAGAGCGAGGAACTAGAAAACACACGACACTTGGAGAAGAGAAGTCCGCCAAAGGGCCAGTTACTTTTCGTACTATAAATAAGACATTGTAAATAATTTTTAGAAATTCAAACTTACTCAAGCCTTAGGCAAACACTTAGAGTACCCAAGCGACAAACAATATTAGTCAAGCAAGAGCAATATATGTGTGAATCACCAGTTTTCTTTCATTTTAACATCAAGTAAATTTACTTTCAACTTTATTAAAGTCTTACAAATTTACTCTATCTTTCAAGCTCTTTTCAATTTTTACCAACGTCTTTATCACTTCACAAAACAAATAGATTTCACACCGTGTCGAAATCACTTCCACTCAGATCACACATTACGTCTTATTTCGAAAACACTTTAAATTTAAAGCATTATCCTGAAATTTACTAATCGATCTCGCAAAACAACATTCAATAAGAGACTAACATTGTTTACCAATTTCCAAGATAAACACCAGTTCAACCCAGATTCAATCCTAATCTAATTTAAAAACCCAAAATCCATAAATAAATCGATTCTATATTTGATCCAATTTTAATTACCTTAATATTTTCTTTACAACCTCATAATATCTTAACAAATTTTCACTCTCATATATGTATCCATTTAATAGGCTAATCCCTAATTGAGAGTCATCTTGGATTATTAAGTTTCTTGCTTTGACTTCTAACAATAATTCAATTCTTACCATTAAAATATCTATGCTTAAATGCTATTTTAGTTCTCTTATATTGATTTTTTTAAATAAATTTAATACCCTTTAAAAAAGAGTTACTTGATCTCTCATTATTATATTATGTGAATTTTCAGTGGTCCCTTTCATTTGTCAATCAATTTTATGACATGATATTTTAAAATTGAATCCACTTATTGCCAAATCATTACTAACAATATATTAAAACAAATTAGGATTATAAAATACTTCATTTCATATCATCTTCTTCATTTACTTCATCTTCCTAAAAAAGAAACCTTAACTTTTATCTTCGTCTCCAACATAAGAGAACAAACGTCCAGAACTACAATCCTAAACTCATCTTCGTCTCTTCGTCTTATTTTCGTTTGTACGTGTTTCCTTTACTATAAAATCTATTCCACTTATTTATATTAAACTTGTGTGCATGTCTATGCTTAGACAAAACTACCTTAGCCGCCCACAAACTTCTTGCATAAGCCTATGAGGCAGTTAGTGTTGACACTTCAAAGGTGTTTGTTCTTTCGATTTCGATTTCACACTTTTTGAGTCTCTGGTTTTACACTAATATTCTCTCTCACTACAAAACTAACCTTTTATTCTTCCATCAGCACATCCTTTGATCTCTCGTTCGAGAATATCTTTAGAATCTCTGAATTTCGAGTATAACAATTTCAAAAGAACACAATGGACGATGATAATAAAACGTATGTTATGACATTCCTTCCATGGATCATCATCTATTGAGGATTGAAGACCCCAACTTCAATTAAACTTGATGAGTTATTTACTTGTTTACTTTATTTTCGTCCAAGGTCAAAACTTGAACATTTTGGTATCTGTTAAGACACATTCAAGTACACGACAACCACTCATACCAAGAGATATTATTAAGTAGTAAAGTTGCATGTAACCACAAACAAAAATAGTTTCCAAGACTATAAAACATTACACATTTTTGACAAACTAGTCTTCCATTTCGATTCATTCTCCCTCATTAATTATTGGTGCTGCTTACTAACATGTACGAATACTAACATCTTAGTAAGAGTAGCCTTTGACAAACAATTCCTTTTTGGCTTCCTCAGATTCACCATCACCAATGTACTTTCCAAGTTGAGCAAGTGAGTTGGACTTGGCGCGGAAAAGGAGCGCCTCTTGTGCCGCCTTCACGTTCTCTGGGCGGCCTCCCCATGTTTTCAATGCGGTATTTTGGAGAGCTCTTGCGTATGAGAACGACACGTGCCATGGGTTTGGAGATTGGTTCATGGCATTCAGGTTGAGGGTTGCTTCAACCTCAGATTGTCCACCAGACAAAAACTACATAACAGTACAATATACAGCTTTGGTCAGCATAAAATTCTGTAGCCCGGACCCTTTTGATTGAAGGCGTGTCCGGTGTTCAACACGAACAAGAATACGACATCAATGCATGTTATTATACCAATGTCGATATATTGTATCAGTGTCGTGTTCAGTGTATGTGCGAGTGCTTGATTGCACATGAACAAAGTTAAAAGTTTTGAATACAAAAAATAATGTATTTGGTTAGTGTGACATACCATGATACCAGGGACAGCAGGAGGAATTCTCCTGTGAAGGAGATTGAGGGTGTACTCGGCAACTTTTGTAGGAGAGGCTTTGTCCTTAGACTCAGCTCCTGGAGTAACCATGCTAGGCTTGAGGAGAATACCCTCAAATTGGACATTGTTCTCAGCAAGGTAGTAGAAAACTTCTGCCCAAACCTTTTGGGCTACTTCAAAAGTTCTGTCAATACCGTGTTCTCCATCAAGCAAGATCTCTGGTTCGACAATTGGGACCAACCCATTGTCCTAATATACCATTAAATGATCACATTTTAGCCCTTTATTGATGTGATACTAATAACTATGAATTAAAACAAAGCACTTATATAACTCGAGTGATTTTCTCACCTGACTAATTGCAGCATAGCGAGCAAGACCCCAGGCTGCTTCCTTGACTGCCAGAGCAGAGGGACCATTGGGGATGCTCACAACAGTACGCCTAATATGTGATTGGAATACATGTGGTTAAAAAAATGAGCATGGAAATTGATAAGTATAAAAAGGCAAATAAATGCATGAAATTCTGATTTTGCTTCTTCAGGAGATCAAATGGACACTAACCATTTGGCGAAACGGGCGCCTTGTTGGTAGTATGCAGCTGACCGGGAGGCAAGACCGTCTAGACCTTGGCACCATGACTCGTCATTGGAACCAGCAAGGGGCACCAGACCCTATTGTTCAATGTCACATCACATAAACAATGAGTAGAGATAAACATAAGCATATATCATAATGGTATCTGCTAGCACTCAGGTTTATCCTATTCATTACTTGTTCAGCAGCATAACAGAAATTGAAAAGTAATCATCTAACTAACAAAATGCGTAGTTACCTAGAGTAATTCCAAATGGCTTACCTTGTCAACTTTAATACCGGGAACAATGTTTTGCTCTATAAGCACATCGACAATCTTCCTTCCATCTGTTGTGGATTGATAAAGAGTCTCCTCGAAGAGAATGGCGCCAGAGACGTACTCTCCAAGTGTTGGAACTGTTACCAGAAGTGTACGCCATGCTTGACGGTTAACTTCGGTGTTCTCTAGCCCAATTGAAGCCAAACGCTTCCCGCATGTAGCATTAGACTCATCCATCGCCAAAATACCACGCCCTGGTGAAGCAATTGTTTTCTACATCCACACACAAGCAACAAAAAACAAGATACAAGAAATTAATACAATGAAACAAAATATTTATCAACAATGTAAATTAGGAATATCATTTCTTAGATGCAAATTCTCAACACAAAATCCCATATTTTCTAGAAAAATTATAATGAAGCATACAACACTGCATCAACAATGCAAAAACGGAGTATCATTACTTAGAAGTTACAGCATGCCCGGTTATGAATAGAGTAAGAGTAACTTAATCCATTTTTAATGGCCCTTTCTATGTCACATCTGTTTAAGTTCTTCAACAATTTTTTACTCCAATTGTGTAACATATATCTCACCTTATCTCACTTTCAACTTCTTAAGTCTACTCTTTTAATTTTAAGCCAGTAAAGGTTCTTACACGTGACGCCCACATGAAATTCAACCAACTTTAGAGGTGAAGCCAAATAAGAACCCGTTCTTAACTTCAAGAGCCTAATAAGACACTATTTTAAATGGTCTAAGTAGATAAACAAGGACAATTGAAGTTCATCAATAGTATACATGCTTTAACCAAGTAAACACTAGAATTCAACTGTGCAAAGGATTATTAAAAGAAATTGTAACTGTGAATATAAATTTCAAGCATGTTAGTTAAAAGAACTAAGCTCAGTTATGATATGCTTCTAGCTTTAGCAACTTGCAAAGTTTTTAAACTCTCATACCGCGGTCTTGACGAGCTCGTCAGTGTATGAACCTGCTCTGACAGTGAGACTTGATGGAGCGGTGGGGCTGCATCTCACGACTGACACAGAAGAAGGCTGACGGAAGAGGGTTTGTCCCTTCACCCATTCAGACTTGTCAAGAACAAGTGATGACTTGAAAAGAGATGCTGATGCTGCAGAAGCCATAGTTCAGTGTCTAACAAAAAAAACTGCAATCTTATCCCTCACTGCAATGAATGAGCCTCTTTACCACACACAACTTATGCACTTCATTCTCAGTATTTAACTATTTATTATTGTGAAGTGATGTCTCATTTGAGGCTGTTGTGAGCTAACCTATCATCACTTGACATGTGGATGATAACTCCTGCTTGCTTGGCATTCTGCATAACTGGTTTAAATGGATAGTGTTTTTCTAACTATCTAAAAATTGAACAATAATATATATATATATATATATATATATATATATATATATATATATATATATATATATATATATATATATATATATATATATATATATATATATATATATATATATATATATATATATATAATTATGCAGATAGATACATAATACATTTAATATTTTTCTCCTTGTGTTAATACTAGTAGTACAAATGTATAACATGCACCAAAAAAGGTACCAATTATAGATGTTTGTTTGCAAGAAAAATAAGTGTGAGGCCATAATTTTCTTTGCTGTTTAACTAATTTGTCTTCTTCTCAATAATATATGGTCCTGATTTAATACCAGGATTTGGTGAGATTGGGTTAACAAGGTCATCAAAGCATGCCATGTCTAAACATATACACTTTCAATGCATCAATTCCCTCTGCTAAATGCTGAAGCAGAATATGCTGATTTGTACTTGTTGAGACCAAATAAATTCTACAGCGTAATAGAACAGTTGTAAAGTCCACAATCAATGACTACTAAGTTATTACCAGAAAACCATAAAGATAACCGAACTAGTATATGTAGCGATGCATGAAGCAAATTACGGTAAATGCGACAAAGTTAACTAAAAACAATATCTCGAATAGTGGATTTGGTCCAATTGGTAAGGGATTTGGGCTCCTTAATCAAATCGTCAGAGTTCAATCTCTGACTCTTGCGTATAGAGATTTTTTTAATTGGAAGTAGAGAACCGACCATGTGTGCCCGACAGATTCTCGGGAAGAACTTCTAAAAAAGTTGTTGATTTATAAATATCACCAACTTATTTACATTAATACATAAATATAAATATATGTCGTCGCTAGAAATTGAACCCTAGATCAGCATGAACCCTAGTTGGGGGAATCAGAAAATTTATCATAATTCAATAATATAACCATAGTTGAAGCCTCTGTTTCCATGTGCTTCAAAATAAAAAATGTATCAACTACCTAACTAAGCATGGAAACTTTGTCTAAACTCCCTAATTTATTCTTTCTTACAAGATTAATTTGCACTAAATTATATCTCTTTTTGTAATTGACATTATATGACCAATCAAAACAATTGAAACTTACTGGTGGATATACTTTTCTCATTTGTATTCAAAACACCCTAAAATCTATGCTCAATGTCTTTACCCGAGAGTTATTTCCCTCTAACATTTCAAAACTTCTTCCTCAAACTCATCTTTATCATTTTAGATTTGGCAGACCAAGCCAACCTCCCTGTCGTCTCATGCTTCTTCGTCCTCTTCATCCAGGTGAACACCATTGCTTTTTCGGTTTGATTTACGGTCAATGTTTGATGTCCTGTTTTTTGGTTTTCAGATCAGTTGTTCATATAATGTCAAGAACACCACTTTTTATCACTGACTTAACTTTCCCGATATTCCAGTACACAAATTCAAATTCAAACCTTCAGGGAATTCCTAAATGGAGATTTCGATGTTGATCGCTTATACGGTAAAAACTTCATACCAAATTCATTCCAGTATTCAATAATACTTTTGTGAAATTAATTTGACATTACTTACCTTTTCCAAGCAGATATCATTGATGTCCTGCAACAGGTTGGAGGAGCTGGGAAAAAGCCTTGCGTCAACCTAATTTTGGCCGATGAATGGTATGTCAATTTTCCACCTGCAATCCTTGCATCATTCACTTCATAACTTTTCATTGTTGTTTGTTTGGATAGTGGAGCTGAGATTGATCTTACCCTTTGGGAGGTGTATGCCAACCAACTTCTGGCCTTCACTGATGAAAATGGTTTGCCGCTGGTCATACTAACTCATGCTTGGTGTAGGCAAAGTTCAAGTACATTCATTAATAAAACCACTCAATTTACATTCCATCTTTACATGCTTCACTTTACATGAATCTTTACTTGCTTTCAGCCACAGGAAAGCTTAATCTCTCAAACGCTTGGAACGGTTCCAAACTACTTCTCGACATTGACCATCCCCAAGTAGTTGATTTCAAGTCAAAGTAAGCGGCCTATATATGTCCCTTTTATCATGCCTTTGGTTTGCAGGGTGAGGTGATTGTTGATCCATATGCAATTGGTTTGCCTTGTGCTAGGGTGTAAATGAGTCTCATAGACACCTATTTGTCACTACTGATGTTATGTCTACCATTTGGTAAAGTTATGTTATGTTTACCATTTGGTAAAGTGTCTTTAGGTGGCTCGTTTAGGAGTTGGTTTTTCCTAGTAGTATATGACCAGTCTTATAGATTGTGAGGTCTTTTAAGTTCATGTTTAGAGTTAGGTCTGACTTATCTTTAGTCTAGTATTATGTGGTGTGATCTCTCTAGAAATTTTGAAATGACTTTATTTTTTAGAGTCGAAATCTACTAAAGATGAACTGTTAGATAGATTGATCATTTGGTCTTGGAAATAGTTTCTTTTTAAAACCTCTTGTGACTCATATACCTAGTTAGAGATTAGGGAGATTAGGATTTATTTTCCTACACCAGGTCAAGAGAATCAGGGTTTTTATTCATAGTGTTTGAGCAATGATTTTAGTTCTTCAAACTGAGACTCAGCGGATTAGGTTTGTTTTGTTGGTACTAGGGTTTACGATTGAGATTATTTTGAATCAAAATTTGATTTCAACATCTGAAGTTGTCTTCTCTTTCATTGTGTATCTAATGCAAGTGGATTAAGGTTTTTCATCTTGTGTGTGTGAGTTTGTTGATGTTTATCAATGAAAAATAATTAGAGGATGTCTTTCTATGCTTCAAGTTTTATCTTTTTCAAGAATTCCGCAAAGACATTTCTTGACAAGACAAAGGGCTTGTGGGATTGATTTGAAAAGTATGAGGTCATGGAATAAGAGATGGTGTTGTAGATTCATGTTGGATTAAGGCATTTTTGGTTCTCACCATTATTACTTGTTGCTTGCAATACAAGTTGGTTTGGAATTGATATTGAATTGGAAGAATTAATCTAGATTTATTGATTGGTTAGTATTCGTTCAAGTTGCCTAATGGATTCAATGTGATCAAAGTTCTTAAGATTTAAGGCATAGTACAATATTATTCAAACATTATGTTCAAAATTCAAGCATAATATGCAAAGGCATTCCTACAAAGTTGATTCAAAATGCTTGTTCAAAATTCAAGAAGCAACATCATTCATTCATTATCCAAGTTTCATAAAACTCATTCAAGATCTAAACATTGGCTATCACAAACAAAGGAAAGAAATACAAAATGCCTAAGGTAGCTAAGTTACAAGACTTGAATCATCGCTTTAAGGTTTCTTCATGATTTCGTGTCCTCCTTCATCTTCAAAATTTCATCAAACTTGCAACACCTTGCATCATTTTGTCCAAGCATCCAATCTACTTGCCATGCCTTGTTTAAAATCCATGACCAAAGGCTTTGTTTCACTCTTCTTATAACTTGTCCAAACAGTTTTCAAAGTAATACGATTCATGACCCTACATAACATCCAAACTGATCAAAAATAGCCAAGCCCTGCATTGTATTGCATATAAAAAAAATTCAAACACAAATTTGTTTTCCAAACCAGTTTAGTTTATATCCACAAAAACTAGTTAACTACATCCACTACACCAGTTCAGAAATGTCCACATCCAGTTAATTGAAAACAGAGAAGAATACACAAGCAAAACTAGAATTGCCAGCTCATTACTAGAATAAGACAAAAGAGGCAGAAATCAAACAAATAGCAGAAGGTATAAGAAAAGGGTGGAAACCGTGAAAAAAAGGTGAAAAGAGGAAATTGAGAAACAAATATTTACAGCTCAACATAAACTTTTTAACCAAGTCTCAAAAATCAGTTTCAATCTCAGTCCTTAGTTTTGTAACTGATCGTATCTGACCAGAATGGATTGTCAAAGTCCACAAGCTATGAGTTGAGCAACAGTTGTAGATGAGACGGGGGGTACCTACAAGACACTCTGATGCCAAAGTAAGGTTCAAAATGATGCAAGCAAGTATGAGTGAGTGAGATAGAATGATTCAATACATGACTCTCTCAAGTGAGAGGATATTTATAGCCCCCAGCGTTGGGCCAAGGTCTCCATTGTTGGGCTACGATGAGTCCAAACAATCAAGACTGTTAGGGCGCTTACGTGTGTATGAAGTCCAACACGTGTCCTCTCTCCTGGTCAACTGCCCCGAGAAAGCAAGAGTTCGACCCGTTATTCTCGGAGAGTAGGATGATGATGATGATGATATGAACACGTGGGCCACGTTCCCCAACGGACACATGGGGAGTTTCCCAATGATCCCTAACTTTGGCTTCTTGTCTTTGGGTCTTGTGCAAGGGTGTTGGATTGGGCCTTCCCAATGGTGGGGCAAGCGCTGACCTAGTCCAGATCAGGAGTCCCCCAAGTTATTGCCCTTAGGTGAAAGGGTGATGACTTAAGTTTAGCTTTATGATCGGGGAGCTTTTTCTCGGGAAGGGAGATCGTAACCCTTTAACGGAGATAAGTTGTTCGCCCTCGTCGGGGACAACATGTTCAACCGTGTCGGGGATCTCGCGAACACGCGAGCTATGAGACCAACTAGGTCAGTTGTTCGTTTGGCGTCGGTCAAGAATGTATAGGTTGCAGGGAGCTTCCCCAAACTCCTTTTCAACGTGCTCGTCCTCAAGGTGTCTCTACGATGTCGAGCGTTATTTCGTCCTCGAGGTGGAACATGATGAATATGCCCGTATGCATGTTTTAGCCATGGTGTCGAGCATTTTATCGTGCGAGACATCTTCGTTGTGCTCGAGTATGACGTTTTGTGTGGAAGTCAGGGACATGTTCGTCTTTTGAGAATGGGCACGTGGCTGGTTGTTGTGCCACATGGCTGTTATTTTGGGGTGCCATCTTTTCATGGGGAGTCCAAAAGGCCCAAACTAATGATGACTTTTCGTGTGCAACCTCGTGGGATGTGAGCCACCTATAAAAAGGGGACCTCAGGGTTTCATTTATTATTATCAAGTTTTCTTCTACAATCTTCCTTGTTCGCGCGTGGATTCTCTCCTCTCAACTTCTCCTTAGAGTTCTTCAAGGCATTCTTATCCAAGTAAGTCATATCCTCCTAATCAACATGTTTTCTTCTGAATTTTTAGATTAAACGCTTAGTTTTTGTCTTGATTGGAAGAATCTTGGATGAACATTCATGGGTTCTGCGATGAACACCCATGAATGTTCATTGAAGTTCATGATAGTGGATGAACTTCATGATGTCGGGGTCATTTTCCCCGAATAGTGGGGGTTGATTCGGGCACCTTGCTCGTTTGACTAAATGTCCCCCAATAGAAGGGTGGTTTGTTTTAGTGTGCAGTCGGGGGCTTGGGTCGAAGTCTGTTCCTCGACGGATGCATTGCCTTTTCACTTGATTTGCGGTGGAAGGGTGAATTTGATGATGTCGAATTCACTATTTCCCCCCTGATTTTTAGGTATAATGGCACATCCAATCGGGGAGGACGTCTTGCCCGCCAACCATGAAGATGAAATCAATGTCGAGGAGGACCCTTTGGCCTGGGTCGCACTTGAGCCTAGAAATAAGAGGTCGTGCTTTTCGCACGACGCATCAGACGCGTTCAACTGTCTGGAGGTTCGAGCTGAAGGGACCCCCACCAAATGGATTCTACAAATTCCCCATCGTAACAGGAGGATATGCTCGATGTATCCGAGCAAGCGCTTCCCCGTGTATGAATTTGCATTCAAGGAGGCAGGGATACGTTTACCCTTTAATAACTTCTAAGTGGGGGTTTTCCAGTGGCTACAATTGGCGCCCTCCCAACTTCACCCGAACGCGCTTGCGTTCATGCATGCATTCGAGCTCCTCTGCCAATATCTATAAATAGGCGCTATGTTGCCCCTCTTTTTCTGTATCTTCCACTTACAAAGGAAGTCCATTGGCGGGGGGCAAGCATGGGTGTCTTTTAAACAGTTTGGGAAACTCTTTCGGCCTTATTTGGAGTATGTTCATCATTTCAAGGAGAGGTACTTTGTTTTGAAGCCTCTGACGGACGTGGCAGTAGATTTCTTATACAATCGCGTGAAAGAGATGAAGGATGGACGATCAGTTGCCCGGTTAGTGGCCAGATTTTCGCTCGAATGGCAATGGAAACATTTCGAGCAAAATCCCGAATACTATGTGTTGTACCCCAAAATTTGCTCTCTCTTTTCTCAAGACATTTCTCACAAAGGATCTCAAATTCTCAAAACCTGATCAGACAAGCTCGCCTCCTAAGCATTGAGACCACAAATTAGGGTTTTGGTTTTCAAAAGGAAAGTTGGACTTCTAATACATCAAATGAATTTCATGGTTCATTATAGACTTCCAAGAATGCTCATGCCATGTTTCAAGTCATGCATCTCAAAATTTCTCAGTTAATTGCTCAGATGACTGAAAATCAGTTGTATTGGGTAAAAAGTCAACTGTGGTCAAACTGCAGTCAAACTTCAAGATTTTTGGACAACATCAAAATTTTGAAGTCATATTCATCAATTGATCAAGGTTTGATCACAATTCCTCAAGAAAAACATTCAAATCATCAAAGGGGCAAATGGTCAAAATTAGGGTTTTGACTGAGAATGACTGATCATTGACTTTTGACCTAGTACATGACCTAATGGCTTGAAGCATGATCTTAATGATTCAAACACAATACCTTGACCTAATTTCATGGCTCAAATCACTTCTCAAGATCATTGGATTGATAGTTGAAATTTGATCAACTGATAAAAAGTCAACTGATACACAAAAAGTCAAACTTTGACTTTTTGGTCAACATTGAATTTCAAAGGTCAAGAT